GTTGCTCCCGCACCTCGCTCAGCCAGTGAGCGGGAACCATCTGTATGTGGGATCCGAACCCTTGGCGGGAGCACCGCCACACTCCCAAGCGGCACACTGTAGCAGTGCGCCACCGGGCCGGCCCCTAAGGCCTGCCTTCTGCCTCTGAACTTACTTTCCACTGTTCCCTGCATGGACTTTGATCTCCTTGTGTCTTCTTCCTGTTCATCCGTCCTCCCTTACTGACTCCCACTTCCATGCCTTTCCTCATTCTGCTTCGTCTGCCAGGAACAACTGTCTTCTCTTCTCTCCGAAGGTACAAGTCGTATCTTCCTACAGAGCTGTTCTCCTCCATGAAATAGTTTATTTGATTAAATTCAGGCTGCAGTAGTCTTTCCTTTACAGCACTTTGTTTCATGTATGTTTTTGTGCCTTTTTTTCCCCAAAGTAAATTGTTAGCACTTTCAAAGCAGGTACCAGTTGGCTCTGTTTGTATCCTCTGGAGTACCACCAAGTATGATAGGCAAAGAGTAGATTTCTAATAAATGTTTGCTTCTTGATTGATATGTAGTAAGAAAAAAGACTGACATCAGGATCATGGCAATTTTTGACCAAATATCTTCAATAGTATGTCAGAGTGTTTCTATGGCAATTACAATTTGGCAGTTTTTTATGATATTGTATGTTAGAGAGTTCTGGGGGTTTTTTTGTTTTTTTTTTTTTCCTTTTTGTCTTTTTTCGTGACCGGCAACGGATCGCAACCCTCAGTGTCACGCCCGCACCGGACCAGGACTGGCAACGGGATCGCAACCCTCGGTGCTGCACCCGCACCTCACTCAGCCAGTGAGCGGCCGGTCTGTATGTGGGATCCGAACCCTTGGTGGGAGCGCCACCGCGCTCCCAAGCGGCGCACTGTAGCAGTGCACCACCGGGCCAGCCCGAGAGTTCTGGTTTTTTATAATTACTTTGTTTCTTTGGGAATCAACTACATATAGATAGATGTGTATGTTTTTTGGTTTTTTTTAAGAAATTGTAGTTTTCCAATACTCTTTCTTTTTATGTTACATTGTTACTTTTGAATCAACCACACATAGATGTGTATGTTTTTTATACAAACAAAATATTGTACATACTGCTCTGAACTTGCTCTTGTCATTTAATGATACTTCTTAGATATCTTTCAATATCTATATATGGTATGTAGAGGTTTTTTAAATTCAGTTTCAATTATCCTGAAAATGTTATCTTTTCACAATGCATATCAGTTCTGTTTAATATTCTAATATAGGTTCTTTTAAGATATGTGTGTACCAGGTAAACACTTAGAATGAAGTTCATAAAGGTCATTAGTTTAATATTGTATTGTGCTTATTGTATAGGGCTGTCATTGACTTAAATTCCATTAGGAATTTTATGAAAGTTTTTCTAAATGGAAAATTCCTAATAACTTACTAGTGAGGGGTGGGTAGTAGGGGAGATTTTTAAAAAATAACTTTTATTCAATAGAAGTAAACTTAGAAGTTATGAGAGACAAATTTCAACTCTAATTAGATGACACATGTTCCATTTCTTAACAGGAATCAACCCTCAAAAGTGTATTGAGTGCCTTATGGAATTTGTCAGCACATTGCACTGAGAATAAAGCTGATATATGTGCCGTAGATGGAGCACTCGCATTTTTGGTTGGCACTCTCACTTACCGGAGCCAGACAAATACTTTAGCCATTATTGAAAGTGGAGGTGGGATATTACGAAATGTGTCCAGCTTGATAGCTACAAATGAGGACCACAGGTATATGTAGAGTTTTATATTTCTTTTAAATGAATTAGTGTAGAATTTGTACCCTCAAAAAGACCTAATTGTAAGCAACGTTTTGTGTAATTATGAAAATTTTAAGCCAAAATACTGTATAATTATTACAGTGAGAAGATACCTGTTAACTCCCAAGATTAACTCAGTGTATTTATTATAATAAAAGTTCACAGTATCATAAAGGAGTCTAGAAGGAAACAAATGATACTTGAGACATAGCCCATATGTGAAGGAAAAAAATAAAAGTCGCAAATATTAGGACAAACTCCTTCTTGTGTATTAGTATGGCATAAAGGAATATGACGCTTATTTTTAAAAACAAAACGAAAACTATGATCATAATTCAGAGAGTAAAGAGGTTCACATTTTTTTAGTTGTGTGCTTTTGTTTTTATAACAAAACACACCACTGGCCAGTACAGGGATCCAAACCCTTGACCTTGGTGTTATCAACACCTTCTAACGGCATTTTAGCATTAATAATCATGATATTTATTAGCCACCACCAACCATTCATCCCATCTGCTAGAGCTGTGAAACCTAAGAGACCTCAGATACAGGGTACACATTTTCAGAACTTGGGCTCTGTATTATGTCAACAAAAATATAGGTATCTTTCACAGCTTATTCATTTTTTTTTAATTTATTCGGTATTTTCCTTTGTCATTTTCAAAAAGATTATGAGGTTCTTTTAGTAAAGAACTTAAAGAAAAGATGTTTGTATTAGTAAAAGAAACTGTAAGAGTATAAATAAATATAAAAGATATAAATACCTTTTCTTTAAGTTTTTGATGTACAAACTACAAGCCTTATATCTCTTTCTGCTATGCAAAGAAGATTCCTTAAAGTAAGTAATTAGTTCACTATTGGAATTGCTGAGAGAGGACCACCATGGTAAAGTTCCTTGTGCACACTTGCTGGTCACTTTTCAAGTAAAGCTGAATATGCTGTCATTAAACTTCAGTTTGCTATGCATCAAACAAGCTGTAGCTCTTTCAAGTCCCGGAGCTCATTATGCTGATTCTCAGCCCTTGTTTTCATATGCTGTAAATGTTTTGGAAACCTTTAATTCACCTTATTTCTTAAAATAATGGCTACGCACACATTCTGCCAGAGAGCACTTATAAGTGGGGTGGCAGTATCACAAAATCAAGCAGAGACATAAGATTACTCTAAAGAGTAAGTTTGCCAATCTCGGAGTTACAGTGTGTTCCCTGACTGCATAAAGATCTATCATCATTTCTATCTACCTCTTCCAGGATGTCTCAGTAGTCAACATTGTGGTACCCATCCACAGATTCAGTTACCACACAGTCCCAGTTCAGCATAAGATTTCATGATATATTTATAGTCCTTAAATTGGGAAACTGTTACCATGTGAATAGAGTAAATGTATCTGCTCCAAGAAAAATTTTTTAAGCTCTTGGGTCAGAATAGGAAATGTAGGGCCGGCCCGGTGGCGCGCTGTTACAGTGCGCCGCTTGGGAGTGCGGTGGCGCTCCCGCCGAGGGTTCGGATCCCACATACAGACCGGTTCCCGCTCACTGGCTGAGCGAGGTGTGGGGGCAACGCCGAGGGTTGTGATCCCGTTGCCGGTACCGGTCTGGTACGGGCGCGACACTGAGGGTTGCAATCCATTGCCGGACACAAAAAAAGAAAAAAAGGAAAAAAAAAAAAAAGAATAGGAAATGTAGAAGAGATAAAAAAAAATAACACTTTTACTTCCTTTGGTCTGACAGATGAGTACTATAAAACAAAAAACAGGGGCCGGCCCGGTGGCGCACTGGATAGTGCGCTGCTTGGGAAGCGCGGCGGCACTCCCGCCCGAGGGTTCGGATCCCACATACGGACTGGTTCCCGCTCACTGGCTGAGCGAGGCGCGGGAGCAACACCAAGGGTTACGATCCCGTTGCCGGTCCCCGGTCCGGTGCGGGGGCAACACTGAGGGTTGCGATCCGTTGCCGGACACGGAAAAAGACAAAAGACAAAAAAAAAAAAAAAAAATGAAGAAAGAAAGAATAAGAGGAGATGTGGAATGTTTAGAATTTATAGGATACTTGGTATAATCTTATTATGCCTATTGTTAATAAGTTTTAGTAGTTATCTTTTGACTTAAATTTGTTTTCTGTTCTTTTATTTGTTGTTACTACACACAGATTTTGACCTTAGTTTTGTGATTTCTTGTTTTTATTTTAGGCAAATCCTAAGAGAAAACAACTGTCTACAAACCTTATTACAACACTTGAAGTCTCACAGTTTAACAATAGTCAGTAATGCATGCGGAACATTATGGAATCTCTCAGCAAGAAATCCTAAAGACCAGGAAGCATTATGGGACATGGGGGCAGTAAGCATGCTCAAAAACCTCATTCATTCAAAGCACAAAATGATTGCTATGGGAAGTGCTGCAGCTTTAAGGAATCTCATGGCAAATAGACCTGCAAAGTATAAGGATGCCAATATTATGTCTCCTGGTTCAAGCTTGCCATCTCTTCATGTTAGGAAACAAAAAGCCCTAGAAGCAGAATTAGATGCTCAGCATTTATCAGAAACTTTCGACAATATTGACAATTTAAGTCCCAAGGCATCTCATCGTAGTAAGCAGAGACACAAGCAAAATCTCTATGGTGACTATGTTTTTGACACCAATCGTCATGATGATAATAGGTCAGATAATTTTAATACTGGAAACATGACTGTCCTTTCACCATATTTGAATACTACAGTGTTGCCCAGCTCCTCTTCATCAAGGGGAAGTTTAGATAGTTCTCGTTCTGAAAAAGATAGAAGTTTGGAGAGAGAACGAGGAATTGGCCTAGGCAACTACCATTCAGCAACAGAAAATCCAGGAACCTCTTCAAAGCGAGTTTTACAGATTTCCGGCACTGCAGCCCAGATTGTCAAAGTCATGGAAGAAGTATCAGCCATTCATACCTCCCAGGAAGACAGAAGTTCTGGGTCTACCACCGAATTGCATTGTGTGACAGATGACAGGAATGCACTAAGAAGAAGCTCTGCTTCCCACACACATTCAAACACTTACAATTTCACTAAGTCAGAAAATTCAAATAGAACATGTTCTATGCCTTATGCCAAACTGGAATATAAGAGATCTTCAAATGATAGTTTAAATAGTGTCAGTAGTAGTGATGGTTATGGTAAAAGAGGTCAAATGAAACCCTCAATTGAATCCTATTCTGAAGATGATGAAAGTAAATTTTGCAGTTATGGTCAATATCCAGCTGACCTAGCCCATAAAATACATAGTGCAAATCATATGGATGATAATGATGGAGAACTAGATACACCAATAAATTATAGTCTTAAGTATTCAGATGAGCAGTTGAACTCTGGAAGGCAAAGTCCTTCGCAGAATGAAAGATGGGCAAGACCCAAACACATAATAGAAGATGAAATAAAACAGAGTGAGCAAAGACAATCAAGGAGCCAAAACACAACTTATCCCATATATACTGAGAACACTGATGATAAACACCACAAGTTCCAACCACATTTTGGGCAGCAGGAATGTGTTTCCCCATATCGGTCAAGGGGGGCCAGTGGTTCAGAAACAAATCGAGTGGTTTCTAATCATGGAATTAATCAGAATGTAAACCAGTCTTTATGTCAGGAAGATGACTATGAAGATGATAAACCAACCAACTATAGTGAACGTTACTCTGAGGAAGAACAACATGAAGAAGAAAGACCAACAAATTATAGCATAAAATATAATGAAGAAAAACATCATGTGGACCAGCCTATTGATTATAGTTTAAAATATGCCACAGACATTCCTTCCTCACAGAAACCGTCATTTTCATTCTCAAAGAGTTCATCTGGACAAAGCACTAAAACTGAACACATCTCTTCAAGCAGTGAGAATACATCTACGCCTTCATCTAATGCCAAAAGGCAGAGTCAGCTCCATCCAAGTTCAGCACAAAGTAGAAGTGGTCAGACTCAAAAAACTACCTCTTGCAAAGTTCCCTCTATCAACCAAGAAACAATACAGACTTACTGTGTAGAAGATACCCCAATATGCTTTTCAAGGTGTAGTTCATTGTCATCTCTGTCATCAGCTGAAGATGAAATAGGATGTGATCAGACAACACAGGAAGCAGACTCTGCTAATACTCTGCAAATAGCAGAAATAAAAGAGAACAGTGGAACTAGATCAACTGAAGACCCTGTGAGTGAAGTTCCAGCAGTGTCACAGCACATTAGAACCAAATCCAGCAGGCTGCAGTCTTCTGGCTTATCTTCAGAATCAACCAGGCACAAAGCTGTTGAATTTTCTTCAGGGGCCAAATCTCCCTCCAAAAGTGGTGCTCAGACACCCAAAAGTCCACCAGAGCACTATGTTCAGGAGACTCCACTCATGTTTAGCAGATGTACTTCTGTCAGTTCACTTGATAGTTTTGAGAGTCGTTCAATTGCCAGCTCTGTTCAGAGTGAACCATGCAGTGGAATGGTAAGTGGTATTATAAGCCCCAGTGACCTTCCAGATAGCCCTGGACAAACCATGCCACCAAGCAGAAGTAAAACCCCTCCACCTCCTCCTCAAACAGTTCAGACCAAGCGAGAGGTACCTAAAAGTAAAGGACCTACCGCTGAAAAGAGAGAGAGTGGACCTAAGCAAGCTGCTGTAAATGCTGCAGTTCAGAGGGTTCAAGTTCATCCAGATGCTGATACTTTATTACATTTCGCCACAGAAAGTACTCCAGATGGATTTTCTTGTTCATCTAGCCTGAGTGCTCTGAGCCTTGATGAGCCATTTATACAGAAAGATGTGGAATTAAGAATAATGCCTGCAGTTCAGGAAAATGACAATGGTAATGAAACAGAATCTGAGCAGCCTGAGGAATCAAATGAAAACCAGGAAAAAGAGGAAGAAAAACCTATTGATTCTGAAAAAGATCTTCTAGATGATTCAGATGATGATGATATTGAAATACTAGAAGAATGTATTATTTCTGCCATGCCAACAAAGTCATCACGTAAGGCCAAAAAGCCAGCTCAGACTGCTTCAAAATTACCTCCACCTGTGGCAAGGAAACCAAGTCAGCTGCCTGTGTACAAACTTCTACCATCACAGAACAGGTTACAAGCACAAAAGCATGTTAGTTTTACACCAGGAGATGATATACCACGGGTTTATTGTGTGGAAGGGACACCTATAAACTTTTCCACGGCTACATCTCTAAGTGATCTAACAATAGAATCCCCTCCAAATGAGTTAGCTGCTGGAGAAGGGGTTAGAACAGGGGCACAGTCAGGTGAATTTGAAAAGCGAGATACCATTCCTACAGAAGGCAGAAGTACAGATGAGGCTCCAAGAGGAAAAACCTCATCTGTAACTATACCTGAATTGGATGACAATAAAACAGAGGAAGGTGATATTCTTGCAGAATGCATTAATTCTGCTATGCCCAAAGGGAAGAGTCACAAGCCTTTCCGTGTGAAAAAGATAATGGACCAGGTCCAACAAGCATCTGTGACTTCATCTGGAACTGACAAAAATCAATTAGATGGTAAGAAAAAGAAACCTACTTCACCAGTAAAACCTATGCCACAAAGTACTGAATATAGGACCCGTGTAAGAAAAAATACAGACTCAAAAAATAATTTAAATGCTGAAAGAACTTTCTCAGACAACAAAGATTCAAAGAAACAGAATTTGAAAAATAATTCCAAGGACTTCAGTGATAAGCTACCAAATAATGAAGATCGAATCAGAGGAAGTTTTACTTTTGATTCACCTCATCATTACACGCCTATTGAAGGAACTCCGTACTGTTTTTCACGAAATGATTCTTTGAGTTCTCTAGATTTTGATGATGATGATGTTGACCTTTCCAGGGAAAAGGCTGAATTAAGAAAGGGGAAAGAAAATAAGGAGTCAGAAACTAAAGTTACCAGCCACACAGAACTAACCTCAAACCAACAATTGGCTAATAAGACACAAGCTATTATAAAGCATCCGGTAAATCGAGGTCATTCTAAAGCTGTACTGCAGAAGCAATCCACATTTCCCCAGTCATCCAAAGACACACCAGACAGAGGGGCAGCAACTGATGAAAAATTACAGAATTTTGCTATTGAAAATACTCCAGTCTGCTTTTCTCGCAATTCCTCTCTGAGTTCTCTCAGTGACATTGACCAAGAAAACAATAACAACAAAGAAAATGAACCTATCAAAGAGACCGAGCCCCCTGATTCACAGGGAGAACCAAGTAAACCTCAGGCATCAGGATACGCTCCTAAATCATTTCATGTTGAAGATACCCCCGTTTGTTTCTCAAGAAACAGTTCTCTCAGTTCTCTCAGTATTGATTCTGAAGATGACCTGTTGCAGGAGTGTATAAGTTCTGCAATGCCAAAGAAGAAAAAGCCCTCACGACTCAAGGGCGATAATGAAAAGCATAGTCCCAGAAGTATGGGTGGCATATTAGCTGAAGATTTGACACTTGATTTGAAAGATATACAGAGACCAGATTCAGAACATGGTCTGTCCCCTGATTCGGAAAATTTTGATTGGAAAGCTATTCAGGAAGGTGCAAATTCCATAGTGAGTAGTTTACATCAAGCTGCTGCTGCTGCATGTTTATCTAGACAAGCTTCATCTGATTCAGATTCCATCCTTTCATTGAAATCAGGAATCTCTCTGGGATCACCATTTCATCTTACACCTGATCAAGAGGAAAAACCCTTTACAAGTAATAAAGGCCCACGAATTCTAAAACCTGGAGAGAAAAGTACATTGGAAACTAAAAAGATAGAATCTGAAAATAAAGGAATCAAAGGAGGAAAAAAAGTTTATAAAAGTTTGATTACTGGAAAAGTTCGATCTAATTCAGAAGTTTCAAGCCAAATGAAACATCCCCTTCAAACAAACATGCCTTCAATATCTCGAGGTAGGACAATGATCCATATTCCAGGAGTTCGAAATAGCTCTTCAAGTACAAGTCCCGTTTCTAAAAAAGGCCCTCCCCTTAAAACCCCAGCCTCCAAAAGCCCTAGTGAAGGTCAGGCAGCCACCACTTCTCCTAGAGGATCCAAGCCATCAGTGAAGTCAGAACTAAGCCCTGTTACCAGGCAGACATCCCAAACAGGTGGATCAAATAAAGGGCCTTCTAGATCAGGATCTAGAGATTCCACTCCTTCAAGACCTGTCCAGCAACCATTAAGTAGACCTATGCAGTCTCCAGGGCGAAACTCAATTTCCCCTGGTAGAAACGGAATAAGTCCACCTAACAAATTATCTCAACTGCCAAGGACATCATCCCCTAGTACTGCTTCAACTAAGTCCTCAGGTTCAGGAAAAATGTCATATACATCCCCAGGCAGACAGATGAGCCAACAGAACCTTACCAAACAAACAGGTTTATCCAAGAATGCCAGTAGTATCCCAAGAAGTGAGTCTGCCTCCAAAGGACTAAATCAGATGACTAATAGCAGTGGATCTAATAAAAAGGTAGAGCTTTCTAGAATGTCTTCAACTAAGTCAAGTGGAAGTGAATCTGATAGATCAGAGAGACCCGTATTGGTACGCCAGTCAACTTTCATTAAAGAAGCTCCAAGCCCAACCCTAAGGAGAAAATTGGAGGAATCTGCTTCATTTGAATCTCTTTCTCCATCTTCTAGACCAGATTCTCCCACTAGGTCCCAGGCACAAACTCCAGTTTTAAGTCCTTCCCTTCCTGATATGTCTCTATCCACACATTCATCTGTTCAAGCTGGTGGATGGCGAAAACTCCCACCTAATCTTAGTCCCACATTGGAGTATAATGATGGAAGGCCAGCAAAGCGTCATGATATAGCACGCTCCCATTCTGAAAGTCCTTCCAGACTTCCAATCAATAGATCAGGAACTTGGAAACGTGAGCACAGCAAACATTCATCATCCCTTCCTCGAGTAAGCACTTGGAGAAGAACTGGAAGTTCATCTTCAATTCTCTCTGCTTCATCAGAATCCAGTGAAAAAGCAAAAAGTGAGGATGAAAAACATGTGAACTCCGTTTCAGGAACCAAACAAACTAAAGAAAACCAAGTGTCCACAAAAGGAACATGGAGAAAAATAAAAGAAAGTGAAATTTCTCCCACAAATAGTATGTCTCAGACTACTTCCTCAGGTGCTACAAATGGTGCTGAATCAAAGACTCTAATTTATCAAATGGCACCTGCTGTTTCTAAAACAGAAGATGTTTGGGTGAGAATTGAGGACTGTCCCATTAATAACCCTAGATCTGGAAGATCTCCGACAGGTAATACTCCCCCCGTGATTGACAGTGTTTCAGAAAAGGGAAATCCAAATGTTAAAGATCCAAAAGATAATCAGGGAAAACAAAATGTAGCTAATGGCAGTGCTCCCATGCGCACCATGGGTTTGGAAAACCACCTGAACTCCTTTATTCATGTAGATGCCCCAGAACAAAAAGGAACTGAGACAAAACCGGGACAATGTAATCCCGTCCCTGCATCAGAGACCAATGAAAGTTCTATAGCAGAGCGTACCCCATTCACTTCTAGCAGCTCAAGCAAACATAGTTCACCTAGTGGGACTGTTGCTGCCAGAGTAACTCCTTTTAATTACAACCCAAGCCCTAGGAAAAGCAGCGCAGATAGCACTTCAGCCCGGCCGTCTCAGATCCCAACACCAGTGAATAACAACACAAAGAAACGAGATTCAAAAACTGACAACACAGAATCCAGTGGAAGTCAAAGTCCTAAGCGCCATTCTGGGTCTTACCTTGTGACATCTGTTTAAAAGAGCTGAAACGACGACACTAAGAAAATTATGTGTTAATTACAACTGCTATATAGAAATTTTGTTTCAAATGAACTTTAAAAGACTAAAAAAAATTTGTAAATAGGTTTGATTCTTGTTAGAGGGGTTTTGTTCTGGAAGCCATATCTGATAGTGTACTTTGTCTTCACTGGTCATATTTTGGGAGGCACTCTTCATAGTTAGGAAGAAAGTGGTAAAGCCAAGTATATTTGTACAGTATGTTTTACATGTATTTAAGTAGCATCCCATCCCATCATCCTTTAATTATTGCTCGTCTTAAAATAATGAACACTGCAGATAGAAAATATATATTGCTATTATCAATCATTTCTAGATTATAAACTGACTAAACTTACATCAGGGAGAAATTGGTATTTATGCAAAAAAAATGTTTTAGTTCTTGTGAGTCCATCTAATGTCATAATTAATCATGTGGCTGTGAAATTCACAGTAATATGGTTGCCGATGAACAAGTTTACCCAGCCTGCTTTGCTTTACTGCATGAATGAAACTGATGGTTCAATTTCAGAAGTAATGATTAACAGTTCTGTGGTCACATGCTGTGCATAGAGATAGCTACAGTGTAACAATTTACACTATTTTGTGCTCAAGACAAAAAAAAATCTGTGTAACTGTAAAACATTGAATGAAACTATTTTACCTGAACTAGATTTTATGAGAGTAGGTAGAATTTTTGCTATGCTGTAACTTGTTGTATATTCTGGTATTTGAGGTGAGATGGCTGCTCTTTTATTAATGAGACATGAATCGTGTCTCGACAGAAACTAAATGAACATTTCAGAATAAATTATTGCTGTATGTAAACTGTTATTGAAATTGGTATTTGTTTGAAGGGTCTTATTTCACATTTGTATTAACAATTGCCAAAAGGGCCTCTTTTAAAAACTTATGTAAAAATTTTCCTTCAGCTTCTATGCATTGAGTAAAATTCCTCTTACTATAATAAAAACAATTGAAGAAAACTTTTGGCACTTAACCATTCCATGCATTGGAACTTAACCATTCCTGAAATTTATTTTTTTTTATGTGATTAACACTTCCTGATGTTTAATATTTTTTCACTTATGTCTTCTTACTCCAGTGGAATTCGGTTCAAACAAATTCATAGTAGCAATGTAAACTGCCTAGCACAGGACTAGGCATTGAACATAATAGGCCCACGTAGAATGTTTTCTTTTTCTTAATAGAATTCTATACTTGAAAATTAATTGATTATTCTTAGATACAAGTAGTCTCTTCCAAGCTTTACAATGTAACTGTCTTGCCCCTTTCATTCTCCCTGTTGCTGTTGGGTCCAAAATGAACATCTTTTGTCACCCTATATGTTAGGGCAAAGTTTCAGCAGCCAGGTAGAATCAGCACTTTGCCAAGCTCACAAAATACAAATCACATGGAACTTCAAAGGTAGAATTAATACGACTAAGATATTCAAAAGAACATTTAAAAATCCCTGTATGATAAGGAAAATTTTGTTTTTGATGGTACAGTTGTGGGATATGTTGTGTTCCTTTGCTTATTTGGGGGAAGGGAATCCTTCATGAAGAAAAATAAACTGCTCAACTTGCTAACAAAGATAATTTACTTAATATATCTTCCCTGAATTTGTTCTAAAAGATCAGAGGGTGACTGTGATGATAAATGCTCACGTATTTGTTGAATAAATGAAAATTTATTTTTAATGATAAAATTCATACATTGTATTTGGGGAAGGGAAAAGATTTTTAGGTATGGTGGAGCACTGGTAAGAGGAGGTGAGGGAGGAGTCAGCACACCTACATGGTGCCCTTGTAGTCAATTATCCACCCCTTACCTGAGTTTATAACTTGAAGGTAATGAGGCTGATTTTTTTAAAGCTGAAAGGCCAGTAAATAAAGTGCTGTGATTTGAACTAAGGCATTTGACTCCAAAGCCCATACTCTCCCCACTGCACCACTTTGTAAACACCTCAATGTACTTATCTTTGGGATATATCTACATTTAAAGTTTTGTCAAATTTTCAATGAATATGCTAATATACAATAATTTTAAAAAACATGAACAATAAAAAAACTAATTTAAAAAATAAAAGTTTTGTCAAATTTTATCTGAAATTATGAATAATATGAATTCTGTTTATACTCTCTCCAAGGCTGCCATAAACAGGGATACATGCATATGGGTCACATTTGTTTCCTTTTAGTCCTGATTTTCTATTTTTCTGAATTATTGCATGCCACTTTTTATAACCACTACATGTGTTTTTACGGAAAGAGAAGGGATGTTAGCCCATTAAAACTAAATTGCCTTTTAATTCAAGTAAGGGGGAGGAAACATGAATGCTGGAAATGAAAGAAGACTTCATTTCGCATGCCAGAAAACTCTGAAATTCCTGTAGGCAACACTACTGGGAGGCAGGGCCAATTGGTCTATACGCCTGTTGAGGAAAAGGTTGCTGCATGAGACCCTCTAGTTAGAGATAATAATGGCTCTGAATTAGTAAAGGGGCAAATCTCAATTCTACTTTCGGAAGTTCACAGAGTGCTGCTGTAATTGATAGCAGACCAAATATTCCCAGTTTATGCTTGTTACAAATGGCATACTAAGCCTAGTGTTGGGAATTAGTTAAGAGTTGTGATGCCTGTTTGCGCGGGGAGGGGGAAGAGCGGTACCATATATAGCTTTGGACTGCAGCAAACTAAGAAATCTTAAGGCAGTGGTTTTCAAACTAGAGTGCATTTGAATCACCAGAAGTACTTATTGAGACACAGCCAGGCCACACACCCCCACAGTTTCTAAGTCAGTAGGTTTGGAGAGGGGTCCAAGAATTTGGGTTTCTAACAAGTTTGAAGATGATGACACTTTGAGAATTAGTCCCCTAAGTTATCACATGAAGCTCCTTGCCTTCAGCTCTAGTGATTGCGCTTAACAATTGGACATTTAATCTGACAAAGTATACCAATAAATAAATTCTCCTTCCTCTGGGCATTAGACTTGAATATTAAGCTATCCAATCTGATATATCCCATCTCAACTCCCAATAGCAGGCAAACTTACCAGACATAAATGAATGAGTAATTCTAAAGGCAATGACTATATCTGAAGCATCAGCTAATGCTCCCTTTGAAACAGTTATTGTAAAAGGCAATAACTTCAGCAAATATCTAATTTGGATTTGCAGTAAAATTAGAAGAGAATCTGCAAAGGGAACTTGTAATAAAGAAATTTTACTAGCATAAGTCCAGCTGTTTGTCTTTCCTTTTCTTTCCATAACCCTGTTTTTTAATAATCTTTTCAATCTTGAATTTTCAGCTCAGCAAATGTTCTTATGTTATCTCTTTTATTATTGCTGCCTCCTTCTTCACATCCTTTCTCTCACTTTGCAGTATTGGAAATCAAGCCATAATACAGAGTATAGAGTGGATGCTGGTCTCTCCATCAGACACCAGCCAGAATCTTGGTAGTGCCTAAGTGGAGACTGTATTGTCAGGAGTTCTTAATGTCCAGAAATTGTACTCTGTTCCTCTAGAAGTGGAAAGAACACCTGTCCTCCACTTTGCTATTAACTGGTGCCAATCATAATCTTGAAAGACACAGTCCCAAACCCCATAATCCCAAATGTTGAAATCCTGAAAGATCCAAATCCCTAAAGTCTAAAATCCCCAAAATCACGATCCCCAAAAATCAATATCCCTAAAATAAGATTCTAGAAAAAATAATAAATTATTTAAAAGACATTTACTTACATTTTTAAAAGAGGATTTAAGAGATGTATAAAAACATGACAGAATACTTCCTAGGCCATTTTACACAATAAAATAGGCAAGAATAACATACATGTTTTTGTAAGCATAAACAGGCATACTAATGACAGTCAAATGGGTATAACATTTATGAGCAGACAAACTATTCATAAAGAAATAGGCCCAAGAGCAAAATGTATAAATGCATATCACTATGGTCGATAAGTGCGTACACCCAGCTTTATAACTGCAGTCAACTTAAATAGGTGAGGGACAGCTTAAGTCTTTTGATGAGATCAATCAAAAACCATGATGGTGAGTTGGCTGGTTAGCTCAGTTGGTTAGAGTGCCGTGTTGTAACACCAGACTTCTGGTGGAAAACATGGTCGGATCCCCATACTGGCCAGCCACCAAAAACAAAACAAACAAACCAACAAAAAAATATGATGGGTCACCACAGCATATGCAGTCGCCCAGAGAGCTGAGGTCTCAAGAAATTTTATCTTTCACAAGTGCAGATGAACAAAAAGACATCTCTTCATTTACTGAGGAAGTTTCAACATTTTTACTTATATGCACAATGCTTACACACAGTCAACGTTACAATAATGCACTTTTGTGGAGTCAAGTTTACAAAAAAAAAAAAAAATGCATAAAACAAATGAGAACTCTCTAAAAGTCTTTACACAATTTATACATCCAGTATTGGAAATGATGCAAAGATGAAATACAGAGCACAGTAAATTGTAAAAAATAATGCTGACAATTTAAAATAGTAGGACAAAAAACTAATATAATAAAAAAAATTTAATTTAAAAGACTAAAAAGAAAATTCAACATATGAAAAAAGTGTATTGCCAGGATAGATTATGAGCAATTGCACGAAGGTAGTCCGTAAGAGCTAACCAACTTTCATGATCATTAACTATATTTTGAAGCCTTGTATCACAATGAATAGCTGCTTTTTTTCTGTTAGGACATAGCTCTCCTTGGAGAATATATTCGCATTTCATATTTCAATATTAGGGATTTTTAATTTTCAGGATTTTAGACATTAGGAATATTAGACTTTAGGGATTTTGATCTTAAGGGATTTCAACATTTCAGGTTAGGCATTAGGGATTGCCTCTTTGGGCATGATGGCCCAAAACCAGTATTAACATTTTTCCCATGACAGCACCAAAGCAGTACTGCTTATGTTCAAATGCCTTAAAGGATTTTTTAATGAAATAGTTTCATTAAAACAGGTTTTACTAATGGTCTATGCTTGCACCTCATGATATAGATATGAATCCCACAGGGGCTGAATATGGAACATAGGCAAATCTTAGTGAAAAACACTGTGCTATGCTCTGAATTTTCCCCCTGACAGGGAAAGCTTTCTCATTAGGTCAAGTTGCTCTACCTAACTCTTCCTTATTCTAGGATAAATTCTCACTGTTCTGTAGAATTTGGCTTCTGACAAACTGGTAGATCATATTTCCAAAGATGGCACAATATCTCCCATCCCACATGCTTCGTTGCAATGTGAGTCTATTGCCCCTCCTTTGAATCTGAGCTGGTCCTGTGACTACTTTTACCAATAGTGTGTGGAAGAAGTGTTGTTTTGGGATTTCCGAAACCAAACATTAAGAAGGCCTAGGAATTTCTACTTTGTCATCTTCAGGAAACTTATTAAAATATTAAGGAATACTTTATTCAAGACTTGCAATAGGGGTAGTGCAGTAAGGGAGAGAAATTGGGCTCAACTCTGAATGTGTCAAAGACAGTGGGGGATTTATAGCTAAAAAGAAGAGTGAGGGGAGTCAGTGAATAGAATATTACTAAAAAGGAACATCAATGATAAGGAGATTCTTGCTAACCTGACTTAACAGGATTCTTGCTGTAGACAGGCCAAGGGCTTACCCATCAAATGTGGGGGATCAGGAATTTGATCTGATATTAGGGTGGGCAAACTCTCACTAAGCTTAGCAGGATTCTCGCTAAAACTGGGTTAGGCAGGCCAAAGACAAGACTGGGGTCAAGGTTGAGGCCTTGTTGAGACAAGGGCTTACAGAAACTTGTCTAAAGTTTGGTCAAGGGGAGAGTCTTTGTCAAAGCCCAACCTAGCCATATGGAGATGCCACACCACGTGGAAACAGAGATGCTCAGCCAGCCTTTAGCTGTTCCAGCCACCCACCTGAGGCAGAGACATAGGAGTAAAGTCATTTTGGACTTTCTAGCTCCAAAAGATGCTACACAGAACACAGAGAAGCTGTTCCTGTTTATCTACCCTATCCAAACTGCAGTTTCATGATCAAATAAATTATTGTTTCAAAGCTCTAAGTTTTAGAATGTTTTATTATCTAGCAATAGACAAGTGAAACAGGTAGCCAATCCCGTTAGCTAGCCAACTATGCCCAGGCACACCTGAATTCTCTGACGGACTCAGCTCAGGCTCAGGTTGGGATGGTTTTGGTTAGTTTTGTTTTGTTAATTTTGATTTTCATCTGTAAAAAGGAATGCCTATCTTATCTTGCTTGATTTTTGAAAAATGTCTTTGTAGGGCCGGCCCAGTGGCGCACTGGATAGTGCGCCGCTTAGGAGGCGCGGCAGCGCTGCCGCCCGAGGGTTCGGATCCCACATACAGACCGGCTCCCGCTCACTGGCTGAGCGAGGCGTGGGAGCAACACCGAGGTTTGCAATCCCGTTGCCGGTCCCTGGTCCGGTACGGGGGCAACACTGAGGGTTGCAATCCGTTGCCGGACACGGAAAAAAAAAAAAAAAAAAAAAAAAAAAAAAAAAAAAAAAAAAAAAAGAAAAATGTCTTTGTAGGTTTGGG